TTCACTGACTCGTCTCTATTTGCTCACTGGGGCCAGGATCTCAGTCCTGAAAACAGACGTATCGCACTGAAACAATTCCAGTATTATGGCTACAACGCTTACCTGAGCGATCGCTTGCCGCTGGACAGGCCCCTGCCTGACCTCAGGCCTAACGGGTAAGTGCTGTAGTTCAAGCTAGCATTATAGGTCCCGGGTTGTAGGGCCTGTGAGCTCTTTTTCACCTGGAAGTCTTGTGTTGTATGATTGCATAGAAGGTAGGTTACGTATGATGTCCAGAATGAGAAATTTCTATTAATGTGTGAAGGTTGGAAGTTTCAAATGTCTCCTGAAGCCCTGGAGTGCCCAAATTAAGTTCTATGAAAATCCCAGTAAGTATCCATTAAAAGTTCCCCAAGATCCTTTGGAACCCTAATCTCACCTACAACTTATATTAGATAGCAAGTGGTTTACTGCTAAAATAATAAACTTTTAATGTCAAATTTCAGTTTTATCACTGGATCTGACTAAGATAGGAGGAAAATATGAACTACTCTTTTTGAAAGCCCGGAACTGCCTGATAAAGATCAGTAAGCAGGTGAAACTGTTGGAGCTGTAGTGATGAAATATGCAATTTAGTCATGCATTGTGTACCAACTGAAAGCATGGAGTCTCCTTTACCAGGCTGTTCTCTGCTGGGAAGCGTGCATGTCAGGCAGGGTAAATGCATCCACTGTGGCTTGGTGAGATGGATGGGACCAATGGAGTGAACAACCTTCCTTTTAGTGCACTTGAGGCCTGTTCTCGTAGGACCATTCACAGAGACAGTTAATGCTCAACTTTTTTTCAGCCTTGGTGATACATCTGATCCTTTGAAAAAACAGCAGCTCTGGGGATGGGAAATGGGTGGAGGGAAAACTGCTTTTTTGCACCTCATTAAAAAAAAAAAAATCTTTAAAATAAACATCAAGGGTACTTCCTGAATTGAACCAGTAACTAAGAGGTGAAAGGCTTCTTAGTTCCTTGCCAATTCCAAAAGCAATCCAGATGTGATCTTATTAACTTACTTTAACCAAATGTTTTAATAACTATAAAGCAGTAAGCAGTACATTTTACCCTGTGTTAAGTCGTCTGATATTAATAAAAAGATATGAGCACCATTCCAGGCAACAGTTCAGCAATTTTAAATATATTTATGCTATATATTATTGTATGTCACATTTTAGAGATATTTATGTTGTGGATTTGCTGAAATAATGACTTTAAGGAAATCAAGGTCCATACAATTATAATTGTTTTTTGGTTAAATCAGCACTGTCTGTAGGGACAAGCTTTTTTTATTAATTGTAAACTAATTTACAGGAAAAATAAATCTTCGGTAATGAAGAAGACATCAATGACAGAAACATGTCTGCTCTTATACCTCTTTTGAAATTACTCTCCTGAATAATTTCAGTCTAAATTTTTTATAACTATGGGTTTTAAAAATTAAAAAGACAGAGAAAATGAATGTTACTGTAGCTGAAAGAAATAAATTAGAGTTGGGATTTTAAAAGAAACTCCAGTTAGAAATGAATCATGATCCTAATTTCTGTGAAATTTTTGATCCTTAGTTAACTATCTGCCAGAGACATGGTAGACATTACAATATGTTCATGCATGCATGCATACAAAATAATGGCTATCATGGTTCAGAAGCAAGTAGGTTCTCTGACACTGAAATGTAGTAAATTCTTATACTGAGGGAAATGAAGTGTGTCGTCAGGCAGTATGTGCGCTGTTTGCTGTATATACAGCACCCTGTGGGGTGCAGAGGTACAGGGTATTCTGAAAATCATGTTGCTGAAAAAAGAATTCCCACTCCTGATGTGCAAGTTCTCATTTGTGTGAAAGCACATGCATGGCTATTGTGGGGAAAAAAATCTACCCTGCAAGAGTATGTTTTCCACTATAATAATCAATTTTTAGGTTTTGTAGCACCTATTTTTAAAGCCAGTTATATTAGTCACTTCCAGAGTCTATACAGATTTATTTAAAATATCCATGGGCGGATACTAGGCTCAAGCAGCATAGCATGAAAACCAAGGACAGCTTGGTCTGAAGAGAGAGAGCACACAGCAAGTGGCATGGAGACAGTTAATCAACTTTGCTGGACCTTAGTTGGTTGTGGTATTCCTGTTCTGACTAGAAATGCAGGGAAGCACAGGTATAACAGAAGTACCACAATACCTCTGGATGGAGTTAGCCTAGGTCTAACTAAGCTCATTAGCCTGGATTTAGCAGTGGTTCTGCAAGAGTCAGCATGACACTGGAATCCCAGCAAAGGCTTGTGGGCAGGTAGCTAAAGGAATGGCATTCATATAGGTATGTCTGGGCTCAGTTGTGGTCTATGATCTGTATTCATAAACTCTCATATGAAGTATAGCAAGTTTGAAAGACAACAGAAATACACGTATAACTGAAGTCTAATCTAATTCATATATGGTTGGCCCAAGCTGAGACTGGGAGAATTAAGTGATCTGCCAAGAGTGTGTGGTGTTAGCAGCCCCTTTTATATCATACTGGTATGACTCAGCCTTGACATTCTTTCTGCCTGCAATGCTTTGAGAATTCACATAAAAATAACTAGCAGAGGAGCTCAACATTTCATTGCAAGGTTCTGCAGTGAGAAAGGCCACTCCACATATGTAATAACCTCATATCATAGCATAGAGGATTTTCTAGGGTTGATATTGTCAACATTTAATGCCATGAGAAAACCAGAGGACAATTGGAGATTGCTGAACCACAACACATGTGGAGGAGAGGGCAAATATTTGGCCTTGCTCAGTCCTCCAGTGTGGGTGGCATGCAGAGGTGGGAGGCCACATTTAGTAGCTAGGGCAGTGCACTCTGCCCAAGCCCCTGAACTCTTAATTCTCTGGGAAAAAAAAAACAAAACAAAACAAAACCAAAAAAAACCCCAGACTATTAGTCAGATGGAAACATCCAGCAGATTGCAGTAGCAGTTGCCACACCTTGCAGTGGGACCTTCTCTAGTTTTAGGTACTGCAGAGTGGTTTCTAACCCTCTGTACAGCCATAAGCCTCATGTCCTATGATAAAACATTCAGAATTTCATTATTTTTCAACAGTGAATATTTGCGCTAGCACAGTAGAGTCCCCAGCACAGTCCAAAATAATCTGTTATAATACAGATGATAAAAAAAACCCCTCCCCTGGTTATCCCAGCCTCCTCAAGTAATCGTCACATCCTGAAGCAGGCTCCGTTTTTGCAGTACTTAGTAGCTAGTACAAGCAGTATTGTGGGGAGTATTGCTTATACTGTCTCTCCCAAGGCCTCCATTTTTCTGCTGCTGAAATTGGGTGCTCTGCTGTTCACCACCCTTATGTGCACCTGTTAGCCCATAACATAGCTATGTCCCAGACTAACAAATACGTACTGGCTCTAATGAGCTTGGAAGCATTGAGGAAGGCAGTGTTGCCCTTATTGTGTGCACAAACAGGATAATACTTTTCCGTTAGTTATAATTCTGTTGTGCTCATTACTTTAAGTAGGGCAGGCAGTACCCACAAAGCTTGTCGTGAGTGAAATGTGGAACAAGCTCACACAGAAAGACATTATTAAAACTTCGGTTGGGGATCCCAAAGCTGTGTACCAAATCTCCTTTCAAGTGGATGCACCTAGGATTCTACTTTGTTGGCTTGTAAATTTTTTGTTGCCTGATCCAGCATGCTGAAGCATATGTGGAAAAGAGAGATAACCTTCTTTGCTTATGTGATGAGAGAGCAAGAGAGGGGTAGTGGAAAAAGAAGTGTGCAGCTGGGCCCCAGCAGAGGAGCTATTCTGCAGTTTTGCTCCTGCACAGCCCATATGGTATGAAGGAGCTGACCAGTAGGCATAAAGCAGTTTTTTCAGTCAGAGTAACTGCAGACAGCCAAACTTCTTTTGCGTTGGTAAAAACAGTATTTGTATGAAGAAGCAAGGGCAGGAAGAGTGGAGCAGGAAAAGAAGCATTTAAAGCTCAGATGTTTTTTCTTCTTTGGAGATGGCTAAATGGTATGGTATAGCATTTGGCTTGTAGCAGGTTTGCCCTTCTTCTAGATGAGTCAGTGCTGTTTGGTGTCCAGACAGGTGCAGAGATGATGTCCTGTTTCCTGTGTAGAGAAAAGCTTTGGCCATTTTTTAAGTACTTCTTGTTTCAAACAGTTCACCAGCCCCAAATTGTATTACTTCGAAGCAAGGAACAATGGTAGAAGCAGCAGAATTAGATAGGAGCAGCAGAATTAGGTTTGTGATCAAGTGGGCACAAACAGAGCAGGCAGGATATCCACTGAATGCAAATCTAACTACAGGGGAGGAAAAGGAAGCATTGGCTGGTTGAAGAGAGTGATGCGTTTTAGGAGAAAAGCTGTTTATCTGTGTACAGCTGTCCAAAATGTCCATCAGTGTTATGGTGGTATATGCACTCCTGGTTGTAGTGTGCAAGACATCAGACTAATATAAACCTGCAGGTTTTCCTTTATTAAAACTGATGTAAGAAAAAGATGTGATCTCAAATTGTGAGGTTTAGGCTGGGCATTTGCACGTTACCTCTGCTTCTCCCCAAAAGCCAGCTCCTAGAGACTTGTTTTCCATAAAGCCTTTACTTCCACTTGTGTCTGAAACAGTTCTGTTTTGCTGGGCTTATTTTAGTTGTGGATATGGCTCCGTGTTCATGTCTGACCGAGTTCTTTTGTTTCTGCTCATGAAAGAGAGCGTAAATATTGCATGTTGTATTTGATGTTTCAAAGGAATCCTTTAAAAAGAGCACAAAAGCCTGGTGCTTTACCTATTGTATTGTTTTGGACACAAGTCCTAAAATTACCAAATTATTCAGCATTCTTGTTAACTACCAAATGTTTAATTCTGTCATATTTCCCTCTCTCTTTTACTCAACTCTCTGCCTTTGATTCTTCTTTTTCTTGCCTCACTTTTGCCTGCCTTCAAACTGACTCGGAGCAGTGGCGTGTACTGCCTGAGTAGCCACCCTCTGTGATGCTGCCCTGCGCTTCAGTTTGTCCTGTCTGAATGCATCTCCTCAAATGGCTGCTCTAGAAGTATTTAATTAATCACTAGAAGTGATATCAAATCAGCTGCAGTTTCCAAGCTGCTATAATAACCTAAGTCAATAATGATG